TTTTTTTTTAATCCTCTCTTAAGCACTTTTAAAGTGCCCAATTTTTGACTCATTTGAATTTAAATCAGCTTGCATGGAGAACTTGGAGAACTTTTTTTTTTTTTAAAAGCGCTTGTTTGGCAGGCACATTTTCCCAAGATCACCCGGCTTTAATTTTAAATTTCAAAAGCCTTGCGTTTAATCCCTTGAGCTGGCCTGGTACCTTGTGCCATCTGTTCCGGGGTTTTGTTATAACGGAGAGCACCTGCAGAGTTTTGCAACATTTCAAGCTGTCTGGGAACAAAAATCAAAATAATTATAATTTTCATAAACTAAAGACGCTGATCCAGACGCCGCAGCCCCACCTAAGAGATTTTTTCATGGGTGGGGGAGTTCAGTGATTGCTGTCCCGGGGCACCGGACATCCCCAATGGCACCAAGCATCCCCAATGGCACCAAGCATCCCCAATGGCACCAAATGTCTCCAATGGCACCAAGCATCCCCAATGGCACCAAATGTCTCCAATGGCACCACACGTCCCCAATGGCAACAAATGTCTCCACTGAAACCAAGCATTCCCAATAACCAAGCAACCCCAATGGCACAGAGTGTCCTCACAGCACTGAATGTCTCCAGAAGCACCAAGCATCGCCACTGGCACAGTGCATCACCACTGGCATGGCCAGAGGCACACATGGCACCCAGTGGCTCGGGATGGAGGTGTCCCTACTGCAAGCTGATGGGACATAAGATTTGCTGCTGCCTAGAACAAACAAGAGATCTATTAGAAATATGGTGTTTGTTTAAACTTCATTATCCAGAGCTCTTTATTACGGATAAATCTCTCCTTAGGGTAAGCTGACTAATTTTGAATGGGGTATGTATGTCACATTCCTACCTGTGGTACACATATATATGTGCCTATCCCATATGCATGAGGTAGATTTGCAGAATTATGATCATTCTCTTGCAGATGTTGATGGTCCCCTCCAGGACGGTGCTCAAAACAAGGATTCAGCCCTCAATCTGTATTTCTACCAAGGAAAAGCTCAGCATAAACTGGGAATTGTTTGTGGTCTTGGCCTTGTTAAAGAGTGGATGGAAAAAGAGTAGAAAAGAGTTTTACGAATGGTGCAGATGTTGTCATTGCAAGGCTGTGAGACAGCCATGGAGGTCCAGGGGATGTCCCTGGAGGTCCAGGCTAGGGATGGCTTAGAGAATGAGCATGGGCCACAAGTTGGAAGCAATTGCCTACAACCTCTGCTATTTCCAGCCTCACCAAACCAAACCTCCCTCCCTTCCCCAGGCAGCCCTGGGTCAGGCTGGCTAGCTGTAAGCTTCACCCATAAAGCAATGGATCCCATCCCTCCTATCAACATTTGGGAGTCCTGTGCAATGCCTCGAAATGCCACATAGGGTCCTGTGATTTGTTACCCACCTGGCTGAGATGTGCCATGAGAAGAACAATTCCCCTGACACCAGCATCGGAAGACCTCTTGCCCTTTTGCACTGACACAGGAGGGAGCTGCATAGAAGCTGATGCCTATGAGGAAAAAGGGAAGAGAAATAATACTGTTGCTTCTGAAATCTCAGGCTAATTTTCCCAGCTTGCTGCTGCAGCAGTATCCCTGTTAGGGAAGATGTGCTCACAAAGTCCAGCTCCCAAAGGCTGGAGAGAAATCGAGTCCAAATCCTTTGTCCAAAACCCCAGCAATCTTGCAGTGCTGATACAGGTTTGCAGTTACCTGCTGCACCTTTCTGTTTCCTGCCCCAGAAATTAAACCATTATTGTCCCTATTACTTTGTTGTTCCTTCATTCCCACCCTCACTTCCAAGCAGAAGGAAGAAATTCTCCTAAAGACTACGATCTATGTGAATGAATTTGTCATTTTTTACATTTAAATCTCTAAGCTGATGGTGCACAAAATTAGACATATTTTTAAAGCCAATCACCAAATAATGAAAAATCAAAAATTAAAAAACCTCATTATAATATTTTCATGAAAGGGAACTAAACGTTGCATTATCCCTCTTGTGATTTTGCCCATTCTTATGGCCACACTGAGAAACATTAGGAAATATAAAACCAAATAGGATTACGATATCAAATGTTGGCAATGCTTTGTGCATTTTATCTGTTTTGCAATGGACCAGTAATGATGACGGGCTAATGGAAACTGTGGACCCAAAATTTATAACAGCTGCTTCAAAGGGAAATTCTTCTGCTACGTGGATCTTATTTGTGTGGGAAAACCCAATTACTCCCAGGTTCTTGTACCGTACTATTTTCTTTTATGATGCTTTTTGCTGTAAGTGCTTATTACGATTAGATAACCCAGTTACAAATAAACTGTGACCCTCCGCTCTTATCTCCAAATTCACAGCTTTCCAATTTGTCACAGCTAGTTGAGAACTTGACTTCTTATTAATTACTACCATGGGGTCCTAAAGGGAGTTGCAGGGCTACAGCATCGTCTCCTCTCCTGTGAGGCCTCATCTTCGAGCATCTCCCAAAGCTCAGTCTTTGTAGAGGCAGCTGCTTCTTACTGGGAAGAAAAAGTTAAGAAACTACGAAAGATTTCGGACGTATATCCTGAGATTGGAAGAGCCAACAGTCACCCAGCTGCAGTTTACAAGGCGCAGCCATCTCAGGTACACACCTGAAGGACACAGATGGTACTCACGTTCTTAATGACATCAGTGAAAAATCCCAGGGATCAGAAGATGTTGTACGGCACCAAGAATGTAATTTCAGACTTCTTCAACCCACAGCAGGCTCAGGTTTCTTGCTCCCATGTCCAGGCATGGGAATCTCGAGCTCAGCCACGTCTGCACTGTCACATGCTGAGCCCATCCTCTCCCCAGGGCAGCTTCATCCTTTGCACTTGCACCACTGGTGCCTCCCTGTCCAGCAGCACGTCCTCCCATGGCTGCTCAGGCCCTGCTTCCAGTGTGGGCACATCCATGCTGCTTCAGGACAGCCCAAGGGCCAGGGACAGAAAGGGCTTTGGAACAAAGTAGCCTGTTTACAGCTGTTAAACAAAAAATAATTCAAGCAACGTGAGAGCTGCATAAAGCCTTCTAATTACAAAGACCTGGCAAAGAAACATATCTGGTGATTCCTAACATCCACTAATTATCAGCAGCATTTCTACAGTTAAGAAGATAAACGCTCAGCTACCCTCTAATAGAACTCACTAAGCCCAATTTCCAAGTAAAACAAATAAAACCTGATTTGCAAAGTACACTATTAAATATTTTATCCATTAGCCACTGTTAAAATCATTCTGCTATCCAAACTGAGCACCTTCTACTTGGACTGTTTCCAGTGCACTCCAAGAATAATATTCGGCATCAATTAACGACCAGTTCTCGTGCTGAACCCACAGCGTGCATTTGTGATGACTGAAATGCATCCTTGCTGCTCTCTGAATGATAGATGAACTGCAATCCAAGCTAAGTTACGGCAGCTGCCTTATTTTGGTACTTTGTTTATATTTTAATTAATGTCATCAAGAGAATATATTGATCTGGTAAGCTGTTTTTTAGTGAATCATCATACCTGATGCTTGTGGCTTTTTAAAAACCTTTGGTACGGCGTGTGAGAAGGCTTCATCTTAAAAAAAAAGGAAGAAAGAAAGAAGAAAGAAAGAAGAAAACATAAAGGAAAAGGAAGGTTTCAGTCAGCCCTAATGCTACCGAAATCCACAGTGCTTAATTTATCGAATCTCCTGTTAGTGAATGAACAAAGGTAAAAATAACAGGCTAGTTATAAACTAGTACTATGATGATGACATCGTGAATTATTTAAAAAGGGCATATTCAGTGTGACCATAGAGCCATCAATCATAATAGACATTGATGAGAAAAAGAGGTTTCAGTCACTTCCTATCTGCCAGGAGAACAATTCTATCTCACAGGTAGCTGTGAAGTGCCGCTGACCCGATGTCACTCGCATTGTTGCTCTACCCTTTGAACGGGGAGAGCAGATTCTCTCAATATTAGAATCGAATGAGTAAATAAATTCTCAGTTCACTGCCACACTCCTTCAGAGTGCACACTTCAATTTGTCTAACAATGGAGAGGACAGAAAAGCAGAAATCTCTTAAAGCACGGATGAATTTTTTATGGATGCTCAAATCCAGCTGCAAAGAATGGGGTTTTAAATGGTAGCAGCTCTGCTTTTAGCAGGAGCCCCCAGAGACAAAGTCCTCTGGAAGCGTTTTGTGTTGGATTCAGCCCTTCCAAGCGCACCATCCCTTCCTCCAGGCCCATCCCACCGAACCGCTCCACTGTGGTGCCCGCATCGATCCCACGGAGCTGAGAAGATGGCAGCTCCAAACCAAGGAGCAAAGCAAGCAAAACGAAGCAAACATTGCGGCTGAGAAGATGGCCGGCGAGCAGAAAGGGAGAGAAAAAGCGCTCCGACTTTTAATTTGTGCGGGATTCATCTAGAGGAGCCTCTTTCACCTGATGCCCCTGTAATTATAGCCGAAACTTTCCCTCAGATCACAGGTTCCGTCATTGTTGGTTAGCCTAATTAGCCCACGGAGCTGTGCATCTGCAGGGAGGGGCAGAGGAAGGCTCAAGCAGTGCCGAGCTCCATCCTCGCTGAGCGCACGCGCCCTGGGGACACCTCCCCACTGCTCTGTCAGCAGCATCCCACTGCAACCCATCGCGTGCCAACGTGTTCCACCGCGTCCCATGGTGTCCCATCACGTTCCATTGCATCTCATCGTCTCCCATTGCGTCCCGCTGCATCCCATCACGTCTCCTTGCGTTCCGCTGCATCCCATTGCATCCCATCATATCCCGTTGCATCCCATTGCATCCCATCGTGTCCCACTGCGTCCCATCAGCTCCCATTACATCCCACCACCACACCCAGCTCCTGCCTGGCCCCAAACTTCCTATTTCCCCCAACCCCGCCATGCCCCAGCATTGCCCAGCCTAGTTGCCTAATTGTTACCGACAGGTAAATCAGAGGTAAAAGAGAGCTAATTAATTTTCCATCCCGGTTTTATTTTACTGTTACTGTTTTGAGAAAATATAACTAAACCCCATTAGTGTTAAGGTAAGACCATGAAACAACATAATATAATGCAAGAAAGACATTTAATAGCGTAGAGGAATGTTAAATTACTAATTAACTCCAAGTTACTGTATAAAAAAGCATAGTAATTTACAGGATTATTGCAATATGCAGCTTAGATTGCCACAAGGGTCAGCTAGGGAGCATTTCGTTCTATTTCTTTCAGTGTGGTGGTTATTGTAAAATTCTTCTCACATTAAAATGTACTGTCCTTACCCACAGTTCATTGCTGCTAATTAGCGGCGGTCGAGATTTCCCTAGCAGTCATTTTTTTTCTCTGTTCAGCTGCCAAATGTTACCAACTGCTCGCGATGCTCCGCGCTGTCCGGCTGCCCGCCCCGCTCCGTGGCACCGCTCCGTGTCGGGTTCAGCACCTGTGCCAGGGAAACACTAATCTAATTATTTGTAGTGCTTTTGTTGCACGGAGGCGGCCGAGCCGAGCGGTTCGTGCTCTCAGCGCACCTCAGGAACGGGCATTTCTTCCTCCTTGCTCCTCGGCGCACCGCTCAAGCACTCGAAACTGGAACCTCTCCAAATATGTCTTTTGTGTGTCTTCAAAAGAGAGTGTTTCCGCATTCTATTTAAGCGAGAAAAGGCGTCTTTTAGTTTTTTACCTAAATATATAAGAAGAATGCCACAACTTTGATTAATAATTGATTAAATAAACCATCCGGACATCAAAGGCAGGAAGAGGAGCTGTTCCACAGAAAGGCTACGCTATCAAATAGCACTTTGTTGTCTTAAACACCGCTCAGATCTGCAGCATTACATGGCACATTCATGTCTGAGGTTATAAACGGCGCTGCTTTCCAAAGGGTTTTTATTATCTTTATTTTAAGGAGAAGAAGAATTCAGATCTTCTTTTATTTTGGTGTGGGGTGTTGCTTTTTTTTTTAATGCTTTTTTTTTTTTTTTTTCCCCAAATTTAACAGTTTGAAAACACAGAGATTTGGATGAAAATCACCCAGCCCCGTCCTTTCCTCTCTCTTTTGTCGGCTTTATGACTAATTTATGTTTAACCTTCTTGAGAATACACTTTCTAAAAAAAAAAAATTCAAAGCAACTTTCACTGGTGCCCAATCCTGGGGCAAAAGGTCTCAAGAGCCCTGAGATGGTTTGGAATTGATGGAGGTGACACGATCTTTTCCACCTCCTCTTCACAGTAGTAAGAGCAATCAGGAAACAACCGCTAATTGCTTCATCAAAATTAAGCTTCTCTATCCTCGTACCAATTATTTCAGCGTCGCTCTTTGGCGTTCCATGCGCCTGCTATCCATGCTCAGAACAAATCAGGCCTCTCGACTGCAGCGTGTTTCCCGGAGTCGCTCAATAAAAGAGGGTTTCAGACGTCAGCTCTCAGCCCTTCTACCTGCTGGCACCTTTCTCTTTGCCTCACCAAAGCCGGCTGAAACGCCGAGCACCTGAACGTACTTGCACTTCATTTACACATGAGAAAGGTTTGTAAAACCTCCGCACGACAAGAGTGAAAAATTCCTTCTGCTGACACGGATAAATCCATTCGGTCGGTGATCAAACCTGTAGCCCAAGGGCAACAAAGAACAAGTGTCAGCCACATTCGCTCTGAAGTTCCACAAAAATACCCCCTGGGAATTCCAATCATGATGCTCTATATCTATATTTATATAAGAGGTAGGAAAAATAACACGTATATATATTGCTCATATCTACATGCATCTACATACGCTCATATACATATATATGAAGGCATTATAAAGGGCAGAGAGAGTGGATTTTGAGGACCTTAACCGGATTAAGAACTTTTAAGCTGTTTTAATTTTTCCTCTGAAATATGATGGCTGGAGTATTTCCAAGCGAAAGGCATTGCTCTCTGCTAAAGATACCTTTTTTCCTCTGTGATCCGTACCTAACACCTATAGTATATATATGTAATATCTATGTGTTGTTTCTCTGTGCTGTGATTTAGGTTACATTCCTTGAATACTTCTTTTTGGTAGCAAAATGCTAAATATCTTAAGAGACTACAAATATATTTCTGTGAGTGATGAAGAGAGCAGGAGATGAAAGAGCAGAGCTGACACAGCCCTGTGTTATTTCCTACATTTTGCTTCTGTTAATGCTCTCCCTCTGTACACTAATTACTAGAGCATCAGCTTCATGCACAGACCTTATTCTTCTGCTAGTACCTTGGAAAAAAAGCAACACAAAAACCAGGAAGTGAGACAGGTATCAGGGGTACAACACGAAGATATTCGGGCGCATGCTGAATATAAACATTATATTTATGTGTCTGTGGGGGGGTTTGAACGCATGTGTGCAGAGAAAGCGACCATTCTCTGCGAGACCCCAACAATTCCTGGATGCAGCTGATAATCTTTGATTATTTTTCCAAAAATGAGATTTTTCATCCCATCTAGCTAGCAGATCGAGCCAATCACAAGCCCATTTCCATACCGGCAAGGTTTCATATTACTTTGAATTATTAAATCCAGCCCACGGTTACCGATACTGTATGTGCTCTTGGAGAGAAAGCACACACACACTCATGCACAAACTTTGCATGAAGATTGAAAAGCGAGGCAGAAGAATAAACAGAGCAGTGGGGAAAAATAAAATATTTAGTACCTACTTTTCATTTATAGGTGGTACAATAGGTCACAGTTCTCCACTATTTCCACACCTAAAAATAAAGCACCTTGAAATGACACAGATCGAGGGGTTCCTGGGATGTAGCAAGCCCATATTTATTTGGTTGGGTTTTTGGATTAATTTTTTTGAATGAATCCCAAGATTGCCCAAAACAACTCTATAGGTGCCATCACCAGGGCAGCGCGAGCCAAAAAACAAGACTCAAGTGCCACTTCCCTTGGGCTCTGCTCCATCTCTGTGCTGCTGGGCCAATGCCAGGAGACCCAGGGCCCTAATGGAAGGGCACAGACATCAGCACCCCTTGGCAGTCAGCGCTGCTCTCGGCGCAGATAACTCCAAAAATAATCAGAGCGATGCTGCACACTGCTCCTGGTCAATTAGATCGAGCGATTGGAGCCTGGGCGCTCGGTAAACAAGCTCAGAAAATGTCCAGGATCAGAATACTTATCTGCTTCTACACATTCAAAATGATTTTCCACTTCCCATATGGAAAAATGATAATGCAGAAAGCGGATGATTGCGAGTTTGCAGTGACTCCAAGCGACTGGCATTGTTATTCATAGCACTCACCGGCTGGGACGGCGGAGCTGCACACCACGAGCCCTCCCCAAAGGCAGCACTGCCTCTGGGATGCAGGAACCTTCCCCAGAGTTGAAGACACCACCTCGTCCATGCAGACCCAATTAGCCAGCAGAGACAAAACCAACTGGAGAAATGGAAACGGCTCATCTTGCAGAGCAAGGACAGGACTCACTGTGCGCTTGCATCCTGTACACGTGTCTCTCCTCTGCTTTCTTGGGAAAACTCACAGCTTCAGCATAAACTCTTGCTCATGGCTGAAACGCACAGTAACTGTACAGAAGACAACAATGGAGATATGTGGTAAGAGTTAAAAACAAGTGAGTGTGGAGGATGGCACAATCCATCATTGGAACAGGTTGCCCAAGGAGGTTATGGATGCCCCATCCCTGCAGGCATTCAAGGCCAGGCTGGATGTGGCTCTGGGCAGCCTGGGCTGCTGGTTGGTGACCTTGCACACAGCAGGGGGTTGGAACTGGATGAGCACTGTGCTCCTTTTCAATCCAGGCCATTCTAGGATTCTATGATTCATCCAGCTTTCAAGAGCCACGGGGATGTGGCACTGAAGGGCACGGTGGGCTGGGGTTGGGCTTGAGGATCCTAGAGGGCTTTCCCAGTCTTCATGGTTCCCCGTTTCTGTGATTCCCACCACATTAGCCCATAGCATGTAGGGATATTTTCACATCCCGGGTTTGTGCCAGAAGCTCCTGCAGTACAGGAAGGGAGCAGGGAAGCTCTGTGGACTGAGCTCCTGGGGGCTGATCTAGAGCAAGGCAGCAATGGGAAATGTGTATTTCACATTTCCTACTGAAGTTCTGCATTCAGGCTGTACTGAGGACTTCAAAACACCAATTTCTGTATTTCTCTCTCAATAGTCTGATTTGTGCCATCTATGGTGCAATTGCTCTGAACTGAATTTGTACGTAAGCTATCAATGGGAGCAAATGGGAGCAGGCAGCCCTTGGGGAACAGGCTGTGTCATCAAGGGAGCCCATTGGGTGCTATGGTAGAACTGCAGGGTTACAAACATTGCGCTAGAAGAAGAAATGCAATTAATTCCCTTTTAAATAAAGAGCCCCTCTCATCTTAGGAGACTTGAAAACAGTGCATCAGAACACCCATTTAATTTGAACATACTCAAATCGTATTCACAAGACTGTAAGTGATTTTTCGCTATCACATGACTGAACTGGGACTCCAAACTCGCATGAATCACAGCCAGAGAAAAGTCTGAAAGGAAACTGATCCCAAATCCCAGCTAACAGCCGGTGCTTTCGGGGAGCTGCGGGGTTTTAATTGCACTGTTGAATCAGAAAACCGAGTGTCTGCTCTGCTGTTACGGCTAATTAATGCACTGACTGCTCTATGCTAGCTCGACCAGGACAACACATTTTGGGGTTGCCTGTTTTTTTGTGTTTCAGCACAGTTACTGACCTTGTGTAATAATTTGGGCGCAGTTCCCCTGCTGATACTGAGATCCTCGCTGTTGCTACCGACTTGATGGAGAACAAAGTTAAAGCCACTGCAGCGCAGCAATCACGGACGCTGCTCAGTTCGTTATCCTGGTCGTTCTCAAGGTCTGTTGGTCATTTCTGTTCCCACTGCTCCTCCAGGAGGAGTTACAGAAGCTCTGAGTAATGCTTTAGAGAGTTTATGATTAGAGCTTCAGTGACCTTTTACCTTGATGCTCTGAGATGCCACACAGTGCTTCCTGCAGACTCTGCTACTTGGTTGTAACCTTTACTATCCCAATTCAAATCAAACTTCCTCTGATTAAAAATTTCTTCTCTATGTAATTAATATCGTCCTCCTTCCTTTCTTCCTCCCTCTCTCATAGAGAATTTAAATAGAAGATTTTTGGATGCGATGCCTCAAAATATGTTTGTTTTTTTTTTGTCATTACTGTCTTCATAAATCATTATTTCTTAATGAACAGCTAGCTCATTCTCCACACTGTTGATATGCCTCAATATTCAGCATCACTGTCAGCACAGATTTGCTGTTCTTCCCAACATTCATTGAAGAGGCACAAATAAAATGTGTTTCAGACTTTTGCTGACTGTCATCCCCATCCTGCTCTCGAAGGTGGCCTTGGGGCACATCTCAGAGGCAGCACGGTCCTTTTTCATTAGATCTCTGATTTTGTATCATGTAAAAGGGAAATTCTGGTACATTTAGCAAACCATGTTGCTCTTTAAAAATGATGAGGAATTGGAGGTGTTTCTCAATGCATGTAGAAGATGATTATCACCTTCTTGAGTAACGTTATCAATATGTCTGAATATCTCTACCTGATGGTACAGAACTAGGCAGGCATTTTTGCTGACACATTAAGAGTTTTAGTGGTTCTATACATAAGTTACCTAACCGCAGCCAAATACTAGGCCTCCCAAAGCAATTCAGGATCTCAGAGAGATATACATGCATTCCCCTGTGACAGCACCCCCTCCTTTCTGGCTAAGCTTTCCCCAGGAAGCCTTGCAAGCACTCAGCACTGCAGCCCTTCCCCCTGTCACTGCCCTTGAGGGAGCACCAGGGACCCAGCAGAACCTGGTTCTGTGTGTCCCAGAGCTGGGCACTGAGAAGACCTTGTTCTTTATTCCTCTGTCTCATGATGCCAGTGACATCCTCTTCACGCTCTGGGATCTTTTTCTTTTTTCTTTTTTTTGCCAAATATGTTTTGCCTTTCATAACACATATAATGGATTTTACCAATTACATTTTAACTCTTCAATCCCCACAGGGAACTTGAACCAAGGTTTTGAAGTTATTCTCCAAAAGAGGAGAGCGGGGAACCAGTTGGATTTTTTACCTTTTTTTTTTTTATTATCTATGATTGGAATTTCCTACAACTCTGCTTTAGAAATCTTCTAAATTTTCAGTAAACCTCCAAATACAGTTTTGTTGGACAAAAATACAACATAACACGAGCCTTTGGGCATGGGTTTGTTCCCCCCCTAACACGAGGTGCTGGGGCAGGTTCTGCTCCTTTTCTCCCCATACAGACACATATTGCATTTTCTGGGTTGTTGCCCACACAGACAAATTTTGTGACTTCCTTCTGCAGAGCTGCAAGAGTAATGAGGAAAAAAAAAAAGAAGAAGGAAAAAAAAAAGGAAGGGAAAGGGAAAAAGAAAAGCTACGGAGAGCCCACACCCCCATCATGGCTCCGTGTGCCCCAGCTGCACATCATACATGCGGAACATTGAACCATCCTCTTAAATATTATGACATGGAGAAAATCACATTGTGCTTTAGCCTATCAACAAAGGAGCAAAGCAATTACAGAGCTAAACACAGTCGAGGAAGACCCAATAAAGAGAAATCCAAGAAAATTTGGTGAAAATTCTTAGGGGGCCTTACAATGTTTAATCATGCTTCAGGCCTAAATTAATATTCTGCTTCTAATTCAAAAGCCTGAACCACAAAGGTACATCTTTTGGGTATTTTTAATAACCGTCGTACAACACTCTGTGAATTAGCAGCTGGTCTGACTGGTATTTTACCTTTTCTTTGCTTACTCAAGTAAAGCAGTTAATATTAGTATAATCATCAAACTAACATTAGCCAGACAGAAGGACAGATTTTTTTTTTTTCTGTACTGTAATGCAGAATTATAAAATAAAATAAAAAACAACAACAAAAAAACACAACGAAACCAAGATTTAGGAATTCCTCTGTGTATTAGTTTAAATAATTTTTTTTTCCCAGGCAGTTTCAATAAACCAAAAGATCTTTGTTGTATTCAGCCATTTTATAAGACAAACAATAGATTAAAGAGCACCCAGGCACACGGGAAGCAGGAAAACCTGCCTCCCGCTGGGTGAGAACAAAGAGCTGAGCACACACTCCTACCCATGGCTGCTGAGTGGCATGAGCAGTGAGGATGGAAGGAAGGCAGTGTGGATGGAAGCAAGCCCATCCTGCTCACTGCAGGCAGAGCGATGCACAACTCACCTGCCAAGTGCAGGTTAGTGGGCCTGCTTCTGAGCTCTAAAACAGACCCAAACTTCTCACTGCCATGCCTCCTCCTTCCAGCCCTGCTATTTTCAAATGTGACATCAGGTCAGATGCTTGGTTTCACATCTGGTTTGTGGAGGAAATGGTCTAACTCAAGTTTTAGCTGGGTTTGGGCAATCATGTGCAGTTGTCAAGGAGAAAGAGGATTTCCTCTAAACGAACAAGAGAGACTGGAAGGAACAAAAATGTTGAACAGAAGCCTTTGCCATTGAGAGTCTCATTGAGAAGTCTCTGCCATGAGATCAAACACTGCTCACAGACAACCCACAGCTGGCCCCACCTGAAGTCTGCAGGTTTCTAATTTGGATACTGACCAGAGACACGGACTTTGGTACATAGTCCCCATTTTCATACAGTTCCTACTTAATAATCCCTTAAAATTACAGCCCAGGGTACCTGAAGCTGTGTCTGCGATAAGCAAGTAGCATAAACACCTGCTTGTGCTGTTCATCCTGTAGCTCTCAAATCCCACTCTGACCATACGCAGCCCCTAGAGCAGAGCAGGTCAACCGCATGCCAAGCTTCACACAGTGCCTGGTATTGTCTTGTTTTTGCTGCAGATAGACAAAAATAACAAATGTATGTAAATACAAAGGCAAGCAGGCAGGATAGGAGAGGAGCCATTCTTTTGAATCTGGGGTTGTATGAATCCCTTATGGGCAGTGTCTCCATTAACACCTGTGTGTACTTGTACCTCTGCAGCTCTCCATGGGTTACACCATTCTATGTTACAAAATGCTCCAACGTATTTTTTCTAGAGGAAAATTCCACAATGCTCCTGACCTCACCATATCCCCAGCAGACATGAGGACCCACACAAGCAGGGGAGGCAATGGGTCTGATGGGAAACAACAGGGTGTAAAACTCTGCACCAGTGACCGTGGCTTGCCAGCAGGTCTCTTGGTGGGGATGTGCTGCTGGTAGCTTCTTTAATATCTTCATGGATTAATGCCCCAGGAAAGCACAGCTTACAATGTGTTTGCACATGGTCTTAGCCAGAGTCTCTTGCTCTATGCTGTGCTGATTCCCTCTGCACTGGACCATCTGCTTCCAGGGAAGACAAAGAAATACCAGGAGCCCCTGCCCACCTGGACTCCAGCAAAGAAGCCCCCTGAGCACTCATCAGCCCTCACCAGAGCAAATCGTCTCGTTTTTCAAGGAAAAAAGTACAGTTCTGCACTTCTTCATTTCTCATAGTTGGTTCAGCACTGCATCCTCTGCCTGTGTTACGAAGCACAGGCAGAGAATGAATGGATGGGAAGAGAAACCCCAGCTAGCAAAGAGCAGGGCCTTGTGCTGGTGTTGGACCAATATCCATAGGAGGGGCTAAAGTGCAAGAGGACATCGGTTTGACAGAGCAGAGATAGGCTTAGCAATGCAAAGGTTGATGAAAAGAGATGGAAATGGCAATGAGAAAATTCAGGAGAGATCTAAAGTGTTACATGTAACATCACAATCAGCCCTTCTGTGCGCCCATGTGTGCAGAGACATTCAGACATCTCAGCCATTGCAGGCTCACTCACCAGTGTTCCCAGTAAAATTAAGGCAGATTTAAAGGAGTGTATCGCTTTGTCACGTTTATTTCGCATCTTCCTGATAATGCTGTAAAAGGGCGACCTGAAAAATCAAGCTTGGTTAAAACAAACTATTAAAATAATGTAAATATGGGGGAGGGAGGGGGAATAGAATTGGGAAAATGGAAGAAAATCTAATGGGGAGTTTAATAAAGAGAGAAAAGCTATTTTATGTCAAGGTAGCAGCTCAGAAAGAGAGCGTACAGGTGCCCTGAGCAGGGCCTGGGGTGCTCCCTGTGAGCGCTGGGATAGCTGAGCCCTGCCACACATCACACACAGGTGCTGCAGGGCAGGAGCCCCATGAGATGGACCAGCGCTCTGATCCAGCATGGCAAATCCTGGGAGTCCCAGTAATATCTGCAGACAACGTAATTTAAGGTGTCCTTTCCATTATTCAAATGCGCATGTTGCTACAGGGTGAGAAGACAGGCAATACGGCGTGGAGCAGAAACAAGAGGACACCGGTGAAATGGAAGGAGAGGGGCTAGCAGTTTGCCTGGCTGTGAGCAGGCAGCACCTGAGGACACTGGATGTGGTACCTGCTCAGCACCAGGCAGGAGGGAACAGGGAAGCTCCTGGTGGGAATCTCCTGGCGCCTTCTGGGATACTGCACGCAAGGAGAGACAAACTGCATGGAACAAAACCATCTCTTCTGGCCCAAAGCATCCCAAGCCAAAGATCTTACCACCTCACTCTGTTTTGCAGCAGTTGGCTCTTCCTCTCACAGCACACAGCAGCTTCCTTGTTCCATTCTGGACAAGTGAACACAGAACCATAGAATCCTTTAAGGTTGGAAAAGACCTCTGAGATCCCCACGTTCAACCCCACCCCCCATGTCCACTGCCTGCATCCCTCAGTGCCACATCCCCACAGCTCTGGGACACCCCCAGGGTTGGTGACCCCCACCTCCTGAGCAGCTGTGCCACTGCCCAACCACTCTTTAAGAAAATTTTTTCCTAATATCCAACCTGAAGCTCCTTTGGCACAACTTGAGGCCATTGCCTCTCATCCTATTGCAGGTTACTTGCATCAAGAATTGCACGAGTATTTAATCTATTCAACATGCAAAAATCAGCTGCATATCTAACATGAATTCTCACATTTACAATATTTGAAAAGCTCACCAGTTCTGCAAAGCCGTTCTCCAGTATGCTGTGATTTCCACATCCCAACAGTTAGGAAATTGGAACGAGTATGTAGAGCATTTCTCCCCTTTCTGCAGTATCCTGACAGCATGATGCTGCCCCAAGTTCCCAAATGAAGCCTATCAGCCCATCCCCAGGCACTCCCTGTTGAATGTCCACAATTCTCTCCTAGTGCTGTTCTGGTGCTCACTGCCCCACTATATCTGATTGTATTAATTATAAATTACACCCCGGGTTACTTCTCTCACACTTTAGCTTCTTTCATGCTCCTGGCATTGCCAACACCTCAAACATTGTGTTGGTATAAACAGTTTGAATTATTTAAAGGGATTCCCAATGTACAATGTTTCTACACTTAGTTTCCTATCTTCAAGCCTTCCTCACTATAATTTAATTTTCTTGTCATTATATAGGAAACAAAAATGTATGGCAGATTGAATCCCCTATGTTCTACAGTGCATTTTCAGACTCACAAGCCTGGCTTGTGTCTATGCGTTCCCCAAGAAGAAGACACGATGCTGTATATGGCTACTTAGATGCACGCACACACATCTTGCAATGCACATACAGCTCATTACAACATACATGATTTCATATTGCACTGGAATACATATGTGAATGCTCATAAAAAACTAAAAAAAATAAAAGAATGATTGGTTACACTTACCAGAAAAGAATGTAAGTAGCAATAGATTACGGTCTATTCTATAGCTTCCATCCAAACACAGCAAGAAAATCTAGAAATAATGCTTTCAAGCACGTTTTGGTCTGCTTTTTACAGCAAGCAATTTAAAAATAAAATAGAGAGAGCCTTTGTAACATTGATAATGTGACTGTTTTCAAGGTGAACTCGTTCCTAGTTTTCATTACGCCCATTAATAGCTGGGCGGCGCGCCAGGAGGCAGGGAGGTGCTGCCAATCGCTGCCATGGGTTTCAGCACTTGGTGAGCTGCTTTGTGAAAATACCCTGGAATGTCTTCCTCCACTCTGTTCCCACAAATCTTGAAACAGAAAACACTTTTCCAAGTGACTTTGGAATCAGCTCTTATGTCTCTATTGCATATTGCTGCATACTCACCACGGCGACCGAGGAAAGCTGACCCCGCCGACTCCCGACCTCATCAAAGGACAGAACTATAAAAAAGAATCTGGTGAGAAGCAGTTTTCGCAGTAATTTCAGCCTAATTTTGCCAACATTACGTTAGAGAAATGAGCTGTAAGGCACGTTTTAATAGCAGAACTATAAATATCTCTGCCTTGGAGGGCGCTTTGCTTTATCTAACAGTGTTATACCTGGGGCAACTCTACTGTTTATCAAGCAAAGAGGCAAATGTTGTAAAGGTGCATCTTGCAACCTGCAAAGCCCATGGCTTTTCAAGCTCTCCTGCTGCTTGTATGCTAGGCAGCAACTCATAGAATCGCAGAACCATAGAACGGCCTGGGTTGAAAAGGAGCACAGTGCTTATCCAGTCCCAACCCCTGCTGTGTGCAGGTCACCAACCAGCAGCCCAGGCTGCCCAGAGCCACATCCAGCCTGGCCTTGAATGCCTGCAGGGATGGGGCATCCACAGCCTCCTTGGGCAACCTGTTCAGGTGTGTCCACAAGTTTGAACTCAGCAACAAGTCATTCCAGTAACAACATGTTTACAGACATTCACGAGCTTCTCCAATCCTCCCACCACGCACACAGCCCCAGCAACAGGAAGGGTTTTCTGAGCCCCTCTGGCCCTGTCCCTTCCGACCCTATGGGGGCTGCAGATGGGATGAACCTGCTGGCATTTGTCATTTGAGGCAGTATTTGTAAAATGTTTCAACCTTGCATATAATGCATAACGGTATTAAGTAGAATATCTAAAGTACTTAAACTAATTATGCCTATTTTGTAAGATTAATTATAATTAATAATTTAACATATTTTATCATTTAAGTCAGTATCCGTTCTGATCTTTAACTTTAGAGAGCACACTGTATACGTACCACATAATTAGGGCTTATGTATCACATAATTAGGGCTAAATACTAGGAAATCAGGCTAATTAGACCAAATCAAACTGAATTATTTAAGCTTTTTTTTTTTTTTAGATGTAGAATATTTAGTAATTAAATACTGATTTCATTTTCTTGTACTCACGCATCTCACTTGTCCCTCGGCCGCCTGCTATAATGAAGCATTATAAAAGTGTTTGTCACGGAAGCACAGGACTGGGGGCTCCAGCAAACAGCTGGGGGGGGCTGGAGTGCACACAGCAGTGCAGACATCCAGAGCTTTGCCCCTGCCCCATGCCCTTCTTTGGCCTCTTTGCCCACAGCAGCACCCTCACCGGCTGCTGGCCACGCACCCAAGAGCACCATTAGTGGCCATGGCTCTGGTAGGAAGCGTTCTGAACAGGGGCTGTTGGCAATACCACATGTAATAAGGTCTTTCAAACAGAGCACGTTGCTGCCAAAAGAAGAAAAAAGCATAAAGAACAAGTGAACAATAACAGGACTGTACACAAAAAGAAAGGACCGGCCCTAAAACGGTCGCAGCAAATTTGTCGTTCATTTCTCATATACATTTACAGCTATAAAAACTTCTCATTTTCTGTGGAGATTAATTCATTTCATTAGAATTCATCCAAAAAGACAATAAAGCCTGGTTATGGTTTATCATCCTTCTAGGGCAGATGATCTAAACGGAGTACTTCTTGTACTGAGCCACTGGTGAGCGCTGCGTGCAGCCCAAACCCACAGGTGTGGGAGTAACGTTGCCTGGTTATACGCTGGCACCAAACTCAGAGGATCACCTCCTAAATGATCTTGTGGCTGGCCTTCAATCAGAGCAAATCACAGAATGGCCTGATTTGAAAAGGACCAAAATCCTCATCTAGTTTCAACCCCCCCCTGAGAAGTTTGGCTAAAGGCTGGGGGCAAAAAGAGCATCACTTTCTAATGGTGTATTTCTCAGTTTACCAACTATGGAACAGGCTTGAATAGAAAATACATTGATGGGTGGCAAATCCAGGAAAGCTGAATGCAGCAGTGGGCACAGGGCCGGGTGGCACCACTGTGCTCACCTCCCACTCAGCTCCAGGTGTGCATATTCCAAGATTAACACCCCAGCAGTGCAAGCAGCTAGAAATATTCTTTATATCAAGGGTAAATGTTAAAGGAATCCATATAAGATCAAAGGGCCAGGAAATTGAAAACAATCCTACACCAAGTAGTCGGGGTCCCTCTATCCGAGCAGCGTTTGCTTCTGCTGCCTTATCCAGCGCTCAGAGGAGTCAATAAAAGGAATCCCATGGACTTCCAGGGGCTTAGGCGTGGAGTTTCCTTGTGTTTTGTTCTGAAAAATCAGTGTTCTTCCTGTTTAAAGTGCTTAGGGGCTAGATTTGCACACTGGCTTTTTTGAGTGTCGCTGCTTGAATCAAAATAAAACGGCCTTTGGGTGTTTTTTAAAAGCTCACTGTGGCAAATGTGCAGGAGTGTGAGGAAGGCAGAGGTGTGGCAGAACCAAAGGAGCAGGCATTGGAGCTGAGACAGCCCGTGTCATGAAACAACTGAAGTAAAACATTGCTGAGGATGCTGGGTGGTGGCATTCCCTGGGGAAGGGAGAAAATACAAATTTAGCTCTGAACACAGACCCACAACACCTGGCACAGCTGCACCAGCACTCAACAGGATTGCTACCACCTCCATTCATTGGCACCCAGCATCACGTGCTGCCTGCTCTACCCATCAGCACTTGGCACTACAATAGAACATAGAATGGTTGGGTTGGAAGGGACATTAAAAACCATAGAACCATGGAATGATTGGGTTGGAACGGACATTAAAGACCACAGAACCATGGATTTGTTGGGTTGGAAGGGACCCCAAAGCCCCCCACCCCTACCTCTGCTCTGGGCTGGCTGCCCCCCACCATCTCAGGCTACCCTGGGCTTGTCCATGGAGTCGGACACATCCAGGGATGAGGCACCCACAGCTCCAGGCAGCAGTGCCAGGGCCTCACTCCTCCCTAATACATCTAATCTAATGTAATCTTACATGCCACCTCCTCCATCTGCTAACATGGGTTGAGTTCCACGTGGAGCTCACAGCCACAGCTGCCCATGTGCCCACAGACCACAGCAGGGCCCAGCTCCAGGCACATTGAGCTATGGGGTTTCTCAGGATGTGCTCAGCTTTTTTTTTTATGTCTTTTAGGCTCTTTGTTGAAGAGATGCAACATCAGTGAACCCTTAATGATTTCCTTTGTGAACAGCACAGGTTCTGCAAAGCAGAGGGTCCCAAGCAGCATCAGTGATGGCATGGAGCAATGAGTGCTGCTTATGGCCCAGGTGGAAGAGCTGAAGTCAGGGAGAAAGGTTTGTTCTGACCTTGCCTCTCAGCATTTCTATTTCCCATCCACACAGAGTCCAGGTTTAATTTGCTCTTGCAGAAGGGTTCCTGCTCTCCTCTGTATTCTCTGGATTGATGTGGAAGCACAGCTCTCTGTTCGGGCAGCAAAATGCAAAGAATGAATGGAGCTCAGAATACAAATAAACTATTAATAAACATTGATTTTGTGGGTTTATGCTTTTTTCTTAGCCCTTTAGCAATATCTGCAGTGTGAAATTCATGAAATTAAGCTATTTTGATTTTTTAATACTGGGCTTTCTAATCACTATTTTATTGGTAATTTATTACACATTTCAAATTGGCCTGGAGATATCCCCTGGCAGGATCAGCTGCACAGAATTAAAACAAAATGTCAATTTTCACTTACTCATATGAAAGGAAGGAGGGTGGGTTTTCTTTCTTTTCTTCCTGTTTTTGTGGTCACTTTTTAAACACCCTTTTTGACAGAGATCTATGCAAAAGTGTACAGTTCCAGCTCAGAAAAGGGTAATTTAGCAAATCTCAAGCCTAGGAGAAGAGGAGGATCTCCTGGAAACTGCAATGCACAGTGGGTGGCATTTTTGGCCATTAGGTTAATTAGATAAATCCATAACTGACACGGCAACACCCTCAGCGCACACACCGCCAACTCAACGCGATTTAACCAAGCGTCCCCCAGCAAAGGCAGCCCAAAGACACGCAACATGTTGGCACAACTTTTCACCCCTAATGAAACAGAGCCCTTCCCAACAGCTCAGGAAATACAGGGCACGTTTTTGGATGCGCAGCATCTCATCATCCCACAGCGGCAGCGGCGCTCCGGCTTCGCGAGCAGCATCGCCACAAAGAATAATTTAACGCCCATTAATAAAGGAATTTTCAGAGGAGCTCGAGCTCAAATTATATCAATCTTCCACTGTTCCAAAATAAACGCATCAGGTGGCATTTAAATGCAGGTGGCTAACCATTTTATCAGTGCACATATTTAAGCTATTAGAAATTTAATTAGAAAAATTAAATTAAACACACTTAATGCAGATTCTAATTCTAGCGACACTGTCCTTATCATTATGCCATTTTTATAGCAAATTATAAAGTATGTCTAAATTGTACAGGTTTGTTTCTGACTGATAGCTGAACTCAGATAATTAAGTTGTTAACCATGTACTTCAGTGGTCAACATGGTTATATATCTTTGTCTTATCGCTTCCCCTCCTCCTTGTTTCCACAGATCTCAGGGGAAGCAGATGAATGGCACTTGACACTACCCACCTACACAGCGACTGATTAGACGCAGCCCTGTGCCACAGGTACACTCAATTATGGGCTTTTCTGAGACTCAAGCGTTTCCTGACGCCGAAAGAGCTGAAACTGTTTATTCGATGCATTTTGCAGCCGGGGAAAGCCGTGCTGAATTGGACTTTACGCCCGCAGTGTATTTTACCACCTTGGAGCCTCCAAGCAGAGCTGTGCAAAGGGATTTATTGCATCCGGGCAGAAATGAATAAATCCCCTCTACCAAGTCAAGCAAACTGCAGCAGAGAAGGGCAGCACGTCCCGGGGACAGGGATGGGGATGGGGACAGCACGACGTGCCTGCAGGGAGACACGAGTGCAGGCAATCTAGCAGTGGGTTGGACCAACACATATCAAAATACAGACACTAGAAATGCAGGCAATCTACCAAGGGGTCGGACCAATAAATGCCAAAATATAGACACAGATGAATAAGTAACAGAAAATCCGACTGCAATTCCCCTTGCAAAGCAATCGATATTCATATAATTCAAATGCTGCCCAGCAGAAACCCAGCATTGGTTTTCTAAGATTGGAAAATACTTCTGGCATATTAGAAAGGAGAAGAAATTGAGATAGTTCAAATGCTTCAGCTAGATGCACGTATGTGTAGTTTGGGAAGTACAAGCTTTCCCTTGACGCTAACAGAAATGGTACTGTTCTTGTAATTTTTGGGTATCATAGAATCACAGGTCCTGCTATCCTGTTTGCCAG